GCTGGGGTGAACCAATTGGATGAAAAGCTTCAGTGCTTCATGAAGCTTCATCTGCCCATCAGTACAAACAAGTGCTTCGATGTAAGGGCAGCACAGCCACCCAGCTGAAACACACTTAGTAAAGGGACGTTGCTCAATCACAGTGAACACCATCACTCACCCACTTAAAAGTCAAACAAACTGATATTCAGTCTCCACTAAAATGTCCAGGTATGCTTTTATCCACACCTGACTAGGTGTGGCCAATTAGCACCAGCTAAAAACATTGAGGAGATTAGGGGCTGCAGAGGGATGTAACAGCCGTCTCCAGGGGGGAAACAGGAGGAGCGATACACCTCCTGCTGTCAGGCCTGCAGGTATCAGGCTGTGATGGGCTCCTCTGTCTCATAATGGACAGAAACTCATTTCTGTGGTGTCTTGTTTGATGCAGAACAGCTGATTGTTCTGTAAATTGTTTTAAATGGTTATAAAAATGCCTTGGCTGGATTTTTAGGTCAATAGTGGCAAAAAACTTTTGTTTTCCAAACTTGTGTTACACAATGAGTGTTTAACTTTGTCATCGTGCAGCAGAAGTGTGAAGCTTATCTCAGCTGAACAGTGAGGAAGCTCTACCCTTCCGCTGTGACCTGAGGAGGAAGAAGCTGGTTTCCTTTTTCCTGCAGGAAGAGAAAACAGGAGCGTTATAGTCACGTCAGAATTCAGCGCCCTCCTTCATGAGACAGTTGGCGTACTGCGAGAGTTTTATTGCACCAGTTCTGGAAATAATGGATTTGTTTTTATAAAGAATGGAGCTGTTATTCCACATCAAACGTTTATGTGCAACACAGTTATATTTACAGACCAGCAGCAGCTGTTTATGAAAACATCTTTTTAGGGGAATTTGTTAATTTTGTATTTGCAGAGCAAAAGAAAATCACGGACAGATGAATTCCTAATGTGGAATCACATCTCTCACACAGGTGCTGGTTTAGCGTTGAGCGGGCAATCATGTGCCGCACGGCTGAGAGGGGCCGGCTCGGGCCCTCTGCCCCCCCCACCACTACTTTGCTGTCCTTTCTTCGCTGTGTCTCTCTCTCTCTCTCTCTCTCACACACACACACGCAGCTCTGAGCCGCTGTGGCTTCAGGTAGGAAGCTACGAGTCAGTTTGAAAGGAGGAAGTGATGTCAATGGTTTTTATAATAATAAAGTTTGAATAAAAACAAACAGGTTTATTTTCTATTGATGATCTATTTTATTCATTATTCGTGTCTTTGTGGTGAATATTGATACAAAAAGTTCTCTCAGGAGGAAGTGAGAAACAGGAAGTGGAATCAATTACATTCAGTACAGCTAGCCCCGCCCCCTCCTTTTGTTCTTCCTCCTGGACCAATAGCAGGGGGTGAGGGCGAGAAAGCTGCACTCCTATTGGTGCATTCTGGTCTTCATAAATCTATTTTGAATATTACAAATATATAAGAGCTCTACAGTGATGATACAGAGTCTCTACTTCAGCTCAGAGTCACACACACACACACCTGCAGGCCGCCGGGTCAAAGGTCAAACAGAATCAGCTGATACAAAAACAATCACAAGTGCAGTAAAAGTCAGTCAGACAGGAAGTCTGCGCTCTCAGCCCGGCCGAGGGGGCGGAGTCAGCAGCCAAAGTGTTTGAGCTTCACATTTCCTCCTGAGGAGCCTCACCTGGACAGGTGAGTGTGTTTACAACAAATGAAAACAAACATTAAAAACAAACGAAATGATGACGAGGTGGCACCGACAGCGGCGAGGTCCAACACGAACACGACTCCAAGAAAAACACAACATCCCGAAACAGTCTGACGTCAGAGTGTGTTCATAAACTGATTCAGAGTCAGCGACAGGAAACAAACATCTGAGACTTTCAGAATAAAGCTGGAAAGACGTTCAGAATCTTTCCAAAATAAAGTTTTTAATGCAGCGACATCAGTGTCGATTTACACAATAAATATTCCAGCAAAACGTTTAAAAACGAGAAATGAGCAGAAGGTCAAAGGTCAAAAGTTTACGTTTGTGTCGTGAAAAGAAAAAAGAAGAAAAAAAAAAAAAGGATTTTAAACTCGCTGCTCCGAGCCTGCTCGCTCTCAGGTATCCAAGAATGCCTCAGTGGGGCGGGGCATAGAGCTCTGCATCTCCGAAAATGTGAGTGAACAACTCCGTCTGCACGTGACCACGAGCGAAGACAGAAACACGCTGAAATGTGAACCAATCGAGCGGCAGCGACACTACAGGCTGTGAGGCCTGCCCCCTGCTGGTACACTGAGGGGCTGCGGGGAGGAGGAGCTTAATGCTGATGCTGAGATGGGTTTTTATTGGTCAGAGACCAGATTGCTCATGTTCCCACTAAGATAACAGAAATAATTTGAGCTCGTTGTGACGTTACTCCGTCTCGTTAGTCGATTATGATTTTATTGTTTTTATTGTTGCTCAGCAGGACTCGTTCTGCCCTTAATAACAAACACGAACAGTTATGATCCAGTTTGATTCAAAATCTCAGATGATTTCTGTCCTGACGCCGACCCGGAGCGCCGTGTGTGTGTTTGTGTGCGCGTTCAGCGCAGCCAGGAGCATGGCACCCACTGCGGCTCCGTGTCCAGCTTGTTGATGAGTCTCAGCAGCTCGGTGAAAGCTTTGTCCTGATCCGTGTTCACGATGATGGAGTCGAACAGGTGACCGCAGCCCTTCTCCATCTCACGCGCCTTCTCGATGATGTCACGCAGCTCCTCGGGCTACACACACACACACACACACACACACACACACATCAGTACTGAGACACACATGCATAAACACAGCTGATGGGCAAACGTAAACGGACGAGCACCTTGGGGTTCTTGTTTTCTTTAGCCAATAAAGCTCGAAGTCGTTCCTGGGAGGGCGGAGCTATGAAGATGATGTAAGGCTTCAAGTCTGAACTCCTCAGCACCTTCAGAGCCTGGAAACACAGACAGACACACACTCTATGTCATGTATAAAACAAGCAAACAGTGGAGAAAGCTCTTCAGCACAGGTGTTCCCAGGTATGAACACCATGGCTTTCTGCAGGTGTACCCGGTCACCTCCACAGAGCTCCCATTAGCTCGCTGGCTCAAAGCTGAGCTGCTCTGCGGACCTGCAGCATCTGAACAGCTCACATTCATACTTCAGTGTCTGTATATCAGGATCACCTGCACCGCAGTGCAAACGAGGTCCGTTTGTGATGAGTGCAGCTTGTGTAATGTGGATCATCAGTGGACATGATGATAAGCTGTTATTTGCATGGAGAGCCTCCGAGGCAGCTGTCTGACACTCTTCCTGTGTCTGTGCCTTTATCTCAATCAGCAGAGTCAGAAACGTAACCCCTGTCCTCTGAGTGCTGGAGCTGCTGCTGAGCCTTCAAAACAGACGTGGTCCTGCTGGCTTCATCAGGAGGGAATCAGCACCTCCGAGTCTCAGCCCACTGTCCTCAGCAAGAAAGGGTGGAGTGGCTACTCCAGGTCAGGGACAAGCTGCTGACCCAGGTGGAGGAGAGGAAGTATGTCGGGGTCTCGTTCACGAGTGAGGGCAGATCGACAGGTGATCTGTTGTGGTGAGTACAGAGCTGAGCATGATGATTAAGTGGTCAATCCACGTCCCCACCCTCACCTATGGTCACGAGCTTTGAAAAGAACAACATCACAAATAGGGCTGCACGATTAATCGTTAGAAAATCGCGATCTCGATTCATACTTATGTGCATCTCATTTCCAAATGACAACGATTTAAAAAAAAAAAAAAAAAAAAAAGACGACGATTGTACCGCATTTTGATCCGGGACGTAATCTGCATGAAAACAAGCGCTCACTCTTCCTGCTCAACAAATGACAAGGGCGGAGCCTTATACCACGTGATACAGAAGCTGTGCCGTGTGATGCTAAAATTAGCAGGGAAAAAACAACGGAGAGCACGTCAGGGATGACGAGAAAGTGACAGGAGAAAATCCGTCCCGGTCAACCACCCAAACATCAATAACGGGAACCTTATACAGCGCTTCCCTATACCCGTCGAACTCCCGCAGGCACAAAGAAATTACGGAGGCTATCACTTATCACCTGACCAAAGATATGGCTCCCATCAACACTGTGCAAAACGAGGGATTTAGGAAAATGATCAACACCCTAGACAAACGCTACACAGTGCCGTCCCGCAACTATTTTTCTATTGTTGCACTACCTGCTCTATACACGCAGTGTCGAGCAACGGTGGAGACGGAATTTCAAGCAGTACAACAACAAAACGTGAGACATTTGTTGTTTTTATGTTTATTTATTGTTTTTATGTTCAGTCTCAACTGTTACGAAGTTGATGTGCAGTTAATAAGTGCAATAAATATTTATACTGGAAAAGAGAATCGTGAGAGAATCGTGATCTCAATTCTAAGCCAAAAAAATCGTGATTCTCATTTTATGCAAAATCGTGCAACCCTAATCACAAATATAAACAGGAAAAATCAGTTTTCTCTGGAGCGTTGCTGGCCTCTCTAAAGAAGCTCGGGGGACGCTGAGCAGAGCTGCGACTAAGGCTGGGCCATATCACACCGTTCATGGTAATACCAGTATAATGTTACGCAATGATAAGAAAATAAGATAACCTTTATTAGTCCCATACGTGGGAAATATGGCGATAGAATACGAGTAAAACATGCATGTGCAGTGCCTTTGTTTACATACGCACATGGCGGAAAAAGCATGGCGGCGACGCAGAATGAGAAGGGCGAAAGCGGATCGTTGAATGAAACAGATGAACCAGAACTGGTTTGTAAAAATGCTGCAGCTTCACTGGTGTGGAACTGGTTTAGCTTTCGTTAGCTTTTTTTGGTAGAGCATGCTAGCGGGCCGTCGTTATTACCGAACTGATTTTATGTCGTACACGGCACACAAACATCTGTCAAATGTTTTAGTCCGACTTTGCAAAGCTACGAAGCCGCACCGCTTGATGGATTGTCATTAAGGCTATCGTAGGCAGGAGCCTCGCGGAGTGATACGTACTGTGCTTCAACATAATGTTACCGTATTGTGTGTGTATAAGCTCTTTTTAAGTTTTTGGGTATTATACATGGTTATGCTGAGGATGTGTCGGCCAGTTTCCACTGGAAATGCCTTTTGGTTAAACTGTCAGCAAGGAATTTGTACTGTTACATTTTTATATAACTGTAATGCACATAAAAAACAGCTGCTTGTTAAGTGAAAATACATTATTAGCGCAAAAAAAAACAACAAAAAACCCCCCAAAAAAACAAAAACAAAACACAGTTGTGGAGTTGTAAAGTATTTTGTCTCGCGTCAATTATATCGTCAGTTTTATTGTTATCGCAAATTTTCAAATGTATATCATGATAAATATTTTTGGCCATATCGCCCTGCTCTAGTTGAAACTCCTCCAAAATGACGAGTTGATGTCTCACTGGGAGGAGATGCTGGAGCAGATCCAGGAGTCACGGGTGAGATTGTAGCTGAGTCCCAATACGTAGGCTGCATCCTTCGGAGGCCAATTACGTCACAGCCAGGTGACGGAGGCTGTCCCAATTTGTCGACTCCTTAGAATTCAGAGCGCGCCAATTCCAGTTTCCAACAATGGCGGCAGCTAATTAGTTTTAATATTACTCTTATTATTCTTTCTGGGTCACAAAATAAACGTTTAACATATTTTCAGGCGAGAATGTAGCTGTGTAAACCTCAAATATCTGCTCAGTTTATCAAGACATCACATATTTGCAAAAGCGCTCCGACGTTTTCGGAGACGTCCGTTACCCACTAGCTCGATAGCGAGCCGGGGGCAAGGCTCACTAGAGCTGGCGAGAACGGCACACTCCCGGGAAATCGTTTTCAGATCACCGCCGTCTTTCGCTACTCAGGTTAAACATGATATATAAGTCACTCGGATAACTTAAAAATGTTATTGTTAAACAGAAGTGTGAGACGGTCGAGAGTTTACTCCAGTGTCCTGTTATATTTTAGACAGCAAGGAGCAGACGGCCGAGTTTATTAAACTCCACCGAGACAGCGGTGACGCTAATCAGAAGGCTCGACCGTCCAATTTCACAGCCTCGCACTTCCGGCCTTCTCTGTCTTCGAAGGACCCGGCCCACGTAGACCGCGAAGGCCGGGTCCTCAGGAGGATGCAGCCGACGTTTTGGGACACAGCTTGTATCTAACAGCGGCCCGGGGACGACTCTGTGACCCCAGGACGAGCTGGAGGAGGTGGGCGGGTGAGGCAGGTCTGGGCTTCGATGGTTACTGTTGTCACTGTGATTGGAACCCAGATAAGCAGAATGATCTTCATCATGGAAGCACAGAAGCTCAACTCTGAGCTGCATGGTGAGGTCCAACGGTGCATTCACAGGACGTCAGGTAAACTGATGCACTTTGTGCTAATTTATTACATTTTCAATGTTCTCAGGGCTCAGCTCCATCCAGGCTATCACAGAATCGTCCTTGTGCTTGGATGCGCAGACCTTTGGGATAGACTACTTTCTGAAAACACTGCTTCGAACTTTGACCTTCATATACAAGCTGAAAGAAAACATGACGCAGTCCTCTGTCAAAGGATTGTGGAAAGCATGAAACTGAACCTGGGCACATCCACCTCGTTCTGCCTCAGTACACACTCAGAGGATTTTAAAATCAAAGACGTGAATGATTCCAAGGTTTTAGCGACAGTGCCACATTAATCGTCTCTCATTTTCAGAAGTTCAGAGTTCCTCGTGTTTAGCTTCCTCTTTATCACCTGTGAAGTCCTCCCGAGAACTGTTGGAGACAGTTTGTTTTCATTTCCATGAAGAGGAGATAATGTTAATGTAACTCAGAAACATTTACATGTTACATGGTTTTTGGACAGAGGAGCCGCTGAGATGCGTCAGCGCGCCCGTTATAAAACCCTCGAGCCTCAGTCACCAAACGACGACCCCACTCCACAGGTGAGACGCTTCGACTCCCGCTCATCAGGTGAGTCTGATTCTGTCCCTCAGCGTGGAGAAAACTTTAGCAGAGGTCACTGTGTGCTGAGCTGTAACAACACCAGTGTGACCTGTGCAGGTGTGCAGAGATCAGTCCGATCTGAACTGATGCTCTTCATTCCAGCTTCATGTTGCTGCAGGCTGGAAAGCAGCCATGATGGCTCATACAGTAAGAAGCATTTGGGTAAAGCAGTAAAGCTCAGAGCACAGAGCAGGTCACATGATCACATCTGTGCACATCTGTGGAATCTAGCAAGGTTTAAAACACACGTTTGTTCTGAGCGTTACATCTGAAACAAACGCTAACGTCTGATTGTGGCTGAAGCTTGTAAAAAGCTGTCGCACTCACAGAGTTCATCATATTTGCTGACTGTGGCCACAGGCGGAGAGGATGTGATGATGCTCTGATAAGATGCTCTTCTTCTCGTTTCTGTCTTCCTCATTTTTAGGCTGCTGTGCCCCTCTGCTCATATAAAAACCTCCTGAACGACTGCAGAT